TCTTTTAACAGGGATTTAGAGACTAATTTATTATATTTATCCCTTTGTTTAAATGTTCCTTTGAGGAGATTATGTCTTATGCAACATTCTAACTATTGTAACCAAGAGCATGGTGCTTTGAATATATTATGTTTTCAATAAATATTCACTAGCTAACTCTATGGCTAATCGTAGTTTTACCATTACCCTATTCTACCAAAATACAGCCAGGTAATTCTTCATTATTAGATTTAGTCTGGTGTGTGGCAGGAAAGAGGTACCATATTCAAAAGTTTGAACTAAAGAGAGCTCAATGAAAGAACCAATTATAGTAGTGGGGCAGGTTTAAAGAAGACAGCAAGGTAAAGCCTTTGGGAACAGCAACAGTGGGAAGCCATTTCCAACCCTAAATGTGAGGAAGTAAGAAGAGAGCATGACATTCCTAAAGCAAGAAGGAAGCTGGAGGTGGGGAAGAAAGGTTGACTGATGGGACCCAAGGTCATAGCAGAACACAGTCACTGTCACACCAGTGTCAAGGCAGGAAGGGAGCATGGGCACAGGGTGATAAACACATCTTCATCTCCTCCCGTCCTCCAGGCTCCTGTCTGTGCCTGCCCTTGGTTGAATCCACCTTCAAGCCAGATGGCAAGGGAACCTGAGTGATGCCACTCTGAACAGAGAACAGAGGGGGGAAAAAGATACAGATAATGGATCATGGAAGAAAGAGGGTGGCAGGGAAAAAGAGCACATTATTATAGTTGCAAAAAATCAAACTAGTTTCTGTAAGCCACTGGAAATAGTATTATATATATTCTTTCTTATATGTAAGAATATTATATATTATCTATCACATGTTATTATATATATAAATACACGTTTATATATGTAATCTTCAATGAATTTAAAATGTAAACACAAAATTATATATAGGGTATCCCAAAAAAATGTATACATACACTTTGAATGATTAAAAAGGCAGTGTTTCTTAAAATATGTTTCATATTCAGAATTGATCTATCAGATGTTAACATGTGTACACATTTTTGGGACACCCTGTAGTTTATAACTATGCTACTATTATGTTACATTATATTTAGTTAAATACTTGTTTGGTGGTGTACTTTAGGTTCATTACAGAGTAAACACATATTGGGGAAATAACCTGAAATCCAAACCTACCTTGAGTTTTGTTTGTTTATTTATGTGCTACCTTACTTCAAAAAAAGTTTAGACTATTCACATAGATTTGTATAACATGGTGAGATGAAATCATATTATAACAAAGAAAAATAAGAGTATAAATGCTGGAAAAAAATTGAAGCTAATTCACAAAATTTAGGCCATACATTTAAAGATTTCATGCAGTTAGTTCCAAAAATATTTTTCTCAAATAATATTTATTGCATACCTGCAATGTTTCTTAGATGCCCCAAAACAAGATTACAGAGAATCTATACCTTACTGAAAGGTATAAAAACAAAGCAAATATTTAAGATAATTTCTGATTGAGAAATAAATGTTTTAAAGAAAATAAAATAGGGTAATGGAATAAAGTGCCTGCAGGGCACTTGAAATATTGTAATGTGAGGAGAAAGGTTCTTGGAGGAATGTCATTTATACAGAAATTTCAATTGTGGTCAACAGAGGTGGGGGCAGAGAATGGACTCTGAAAAGGTCAGACCCAGCCAAAGTTAAGTAGCAAGTATCACATCATTCCCAACAGATACAAACAATATAAAAGAGGATATTTGGAGGTAATAACTTCCTGTTTACATATAGCTGAAAAATCCTATTTTATCCATCGTTATATATGCTTCTTCTTTTCAGAACTGTCCTAGATGCTTTAATCTTTATTTTTCAACTCTAATTAATTTGGCAAAACTTTATTTAACAATTACCACGTGTTCAAATACATGCAGTGGATTACTATAGTAAACAGTAACACTAGGGTTGCCATAACACAGTGCCACAGACTGGGTGGCTTAAACAACAGAAATTTATTTTATTTGCTCTAAAAGTTCAGTTTAAGCTGTGCCCAGAGCCTGCTCTGGCTCTGAAGAGGCCACTAGAGTTGGCGTTGCCTCTTGAAGTCTTTCTTGATCTTGCTCTGGAGCTGGTTTTGTAGATCAAGTATGTCAAACTCAAAGGCTAACATGTGCCAAATAAACAAGGTTTAAGTTTCTGTGGGCCGCAAAAAACAAAAGCTTCAATTTTCATAGAAACGTAGGTTTATTTTAATAGAGACATGTTGAGTACAAAGGGCTGAAATAAATGAGTAATCATTAACATAAAATAATAGAACATTTTAATAAAAATTAATATTTTTTCTTGAACATTAACTTACCAGATACTGAATAACTGCACAAATTAGTAAGAGTAAGGCAAATAAACTTATTATTCTTGTTCTCTGAAAGAGAAATATTTCCTGTTGCGCACACCAAACAAGTCAGTAGAAGACTGAGGATGTGGCAATCAGTTGCTAAAATATTCGCTGCTACTATTAGTGGAGAGAAATGGTGGGCCTGGGCGTAAGGTGCATAAAGGAAATGAATGCAACATGATTATAGTAATCAGTCATTAGCGAACCTTTTAGTTCATTATTAATAATTATGTATAACAGAATATTGTAAAAATTAAGTTATGGAATTTTTATTAAAACGTTCCTTACATACCGTTATATGGGCTGGGCCACAAAAATATTCATTGTGGGCCACATGGAACCTGCAGGCCGTGAGTCTGACATGCTTGCTTGTAGATCCAAGAAGACAATATTATCACCATGACTGCCTTTTATGTGCCTTCTTAAGACAGAAAATCTCTCCTATCCATCGATGGAGTCCCAGTTCAAGAGCCCACCCCTAGGCAGTCTTCCCAGACTGAAGGCCATGGGGATAGTGATCAGAGCAACTCTTTGCTCCTGCCTAACCCTAGCTTCTGGAAGCTCTTCTCTGCATGGCTTAGTCCCCCACTCACCCACACCACCCACCCCCAGTCCTTCTCATCCTCTGTCTCTGCCTCTGTGGGCTCACAATGCTCCAGCTCTGAAAGGAGCAGCTGGGCCCAGTGCTTTAGGTCTGGGCTGGTTCTGTAGATCCATGAAGGATGGAGGCAGATGGGAACAGCCCTGTATGGGTAATGGCAGGCCGCTTTCCATGGCTAGTGGAGTGGACTGTCATTAATGAATCTTCCACGCGCAGTGCCCTCTTTTGCTCACCTACTTTCTGAGTCATCTAGTAAACTCTCTTTTTGTAATCAGTTCAGTATATTCTGTCAGACTAAATCAGGTCTCTGAATGAGCTTTTTCATTGTAATGAAAGATGTTAAATTTTATCAGCCATGGAATGTCTATCACCTTCCCTTGGATCTCAGAGAACCTAATGGAGGCTTCTAGAGGCAGGTCCTGAACCTAAGGGCTTCAGTCTCCTGGATGGAGAGTGACAAGTGGGAGAGGACCCATTCTTTGTTCTCCTGTTTGACTACCTAATAACTGCCTGTGATCTCCATATGCCTTTACACCTGACCACATGTATCATCTTTCATCCTGATAACAAGCAAGTTCATAAGTTCCTCTTAGGCATTTTTGCAGGAGAGAATATTGAGGATCAGAGAATGGGAGTGACTTGTCCAAGGTCCCATACAACCAAAGTGTCCTCCTCCATGCCAGGGTCCAAGCAACCTTGAGAAGTCACCCAGACTCACACAGGCCTTGAGGAAGATAGGGAAATTCTCCTTCAGCATCTTCAGCAGGCTCTGCTTGTCAATCTTGTCATCAGGTTTGGAGTATTTGTGGAATAGGACGATCAAGCCCATCACAGACTGCTCAACTGGAGTATGGCTCATCTTGGTTTTCAAGAAAGCTGCCAGAGAGAAAGACAAGGACCTTTGTTGTCCTCCCCCGCCACCCCCCTGTGAGGGTCCCTAAGTCAGGAAAATGGTGTGGGAATTGAGCATCCAGTGAAGTGAGGTTCAGGTGAAGCAGAAGGAACTGTATCACCCTAGCAGGTGGGATGAGATGCTCACAAGGAGGAGAGTGTGACCAAGGCTGGGACATGGGCCCACGTAAGTCAGGGTCCAGAGGAGATGGAGGAGAATACAGAAGACAGAAGCAGAGAGGGTGGGACCTGGGCCAAACACAGCATTTGGACGACTCTACTCTTCAAGAGCATCAACACCATCTCCTTCAGTGTCAACGTCAGGGTCAGAGTCACAGGGACAAAATAACTTTCTTACTAGTCTGGCCTGACCCTCCCTAGGCTTCTCTTAGAATGAGACACCTGAGGAGTCCATCTTGAACATAAAGCAAGCTCTAAATGAAATGGGCCCTCAGGGCTCCCAATGGTGAGTGTGAGTAGGATGATGGGTGTGAGCAGAAATATACAGCCCTGTTCTGAGCTCCTGCAAGGAACTCCTTGACCATTCTCACCAGTGGAAAAGAGGCACTGGGGACCAGCATTGACATCATATTTGTAATAAACAGAAATACCTGCCACAGTTTAGACTATTGAGTGGAATGTGGGGAGATAGGCTCCTTCAGATGACCTTTGTACCTCCCTGCTATCTGGAACCCCACGGATAGACTACATTTAAGTAAAGAGGTCTGACTTCCCAAAGCCGGTACTTCCATCAATAGTTTGGATTCCAAACAGAGAAGTGAAAAAGTGCAGCCCTCATATCCTAGACTTTCCAAAACTCTCAAGAAATTTGTATGGCTCACATGTCTGGGCATCTAACAAAAACTACCATTGTTTCCTGATCTAAGAGAAAGATCCTCCCTGTTATGTCCCTAAGTGAAACCACCCTGGCACGCGTGCCAAACATGGCTCGCCAGTAACTTTTGCTGGCACGCGAAAACCCTCTCTTATAATCTTCTATTTACAATTTTTGTGAACATTTGATGACTTAAATGTTAAATTACAAGGAACTGGTAAGACACTTGATGTTATATTTGGTTACATAAAGGTTTTTGAAAAGAAACTGGAAGTCTTTAAAAGGGATGTAGATGGTGAGAGATTTAGGTATTTCCCAAACCTCAAGAGGCACATCAAAGGCCTCCCAAAAGATGACAGAACAAACTGTCAAAGCCTTCAAAAGCTGTTTTTAAACATCATCGAGTCAAATATTGAGCAGTTCTTCTCAAGATTTGTGAAATTCAGAGAACTGGAAGAGACAGCAAAATTCATGAGGTTTCCAGACAGCATGAAACTGGAGGAACTAAACTTACAAATGTTTTCATGGATAGACATGGCTGAATTCTGAAGGTCATGAAATATAAACCTGATGTAAAATCTCTGTCATCAGTGATGCAGCAGCAAAAGTCCCACGGATAATATCAAACGGAGGCATAAAGTTTTCTGTCGGACGATCAGTGTATATATATACATTAAAATAAATGTATTTTTCATCATCATATACTGTGTTTTTGTCACTCGAATGAATTTTATTATTTCTTCAAGGTTCTTCACATACGTATACCTTAAGAGATATCAAGTAGGTGTAACATGTTCTCAAAAAATTAGGGTTGGCACGCAAAAGAATTTTGAGTCAGAGATTTTGCGGGTTTTGGCACGCACTCACAAAAAGTTTGCCCACCCCTGATGTAAGGCCTTCTATCAACTTGGCCAAGGCCTTAGCTGAGGCCTGTGCACAGAAGGTAACTGGTCATTCCCTCAGCTGGGGAGGAGGTCCAAAACCTTAGTTGATGGGTCCCTGATCCATGCAGTGGCAGGTCTTCTGACTAGGGCAAGGTGAGTGGGCATCCCAGGCCTGGGTTTAGGAGAACCTTCAAGACTTTGGTAGAAACACCCACTCCCCCCAGAGGTTGAGATGCAAAGTCTATGGCCTGAGAGTCAAGTGATTCCAGAGAGAAAAAAAGACAAGGAGGAGAGGAAGGTTCATATCCTAAGCTCCCACCAGGGATGTTTCCACAGAGTTGTCACAGAAGAGCGAAAATAGCATTGGAGAACATTAGTACAGCCATCTTGTTGTATATAGGCCCTCGGGACCCAAGTGGGATAAAGTCGGAAAGACCTGAAACAGGCAGAGTTGAGACTGGATCCAGGCTACTGAATCCTCTCCCATCACCGCTTTCCCTGCTCCTGGACACAGCAGAACACACTGGGCCCTGACAGTCCGCCTGGCAAATAGTTAGGTACAGCCTTACCAGAGCTGATGAGTATCACTGAGGAGAAGGATGAGTGTGCTGTGCAGCTGAGTAAAGACTGGTCCCTTTACAGGGCTCAGTCTGGCTCCTCCCAGGCACTGGGAGCCCTTGGGCCATGTTCTCTATCTACTTCCTAGGCCATTGCCTCACTCAGGTTGGTGGGACCCATATGGGAGTGTGTGTTCAGCATGTTCCAGTAAAATCCCAGGCAACTCCCAAGGGAAAGGAAACCTGAGACTGGGATGGGGAAGACAATGGGATGTGTCTTAAAAGCACAGGGATTTTGGTACAGAAAACTAAGTTTCTGAACCTAAAGAGGATGGAACTCTGAAAGGCAGCATGGTCTGTGTTTGCTCATCACCCAGTCCTTCCACAAGTTTGTTCTGATATCTAACAAAAACTCTCCAGTGCTTTATACGTGCATAACTGTACCAGGCATCAGCTTACCTGTCATATTGACATTCCTCCTAAACCTTCAAAACCTCAGGAGATGGTGCTGTGACCCTCATGTTAAGGATGGGGAATTGAGGGAGTAAGAGGTAAGCAAAGTTCCTGTGTATACAAGACTAATAGACATCCAGGTCAAAATATGATGCCCAAAAAGCCTGATTCAAAACGTCCCTCCTAACCCCACTACTAGACCTTTGAGGTCACTGCAGGGCCTGTGAACTCAAAATCCACAGGAGGGATGGAGGGTTACCTTACTCCCATCTTCATGTTGGGTCCTCACCAAAATGCTAGGAGAGAAAGAGGTGGCATGACCCACAGTGACAGACCAGGTAGCACAGACATCTTGTTGTATATAGGCCCTCGGGACCCAAGTGGGATAAAGTCGGAAAGACCCGTAACAGGCAGAGTTGAGACTGGATCCAGGCTTCTGAATCCTCTCCCATCAGAGTTCCATCCTCTTTAGGTTCAGAAACTTAGTTTTCTGTACCAAAATCCCTGTGCTTTTAAGACACATCCCATTGTCTTCCCCCCATCCCAGTCTCAGGTTTCCTTTCCCTTGGGAGTTGCCTGGGATTTTACTGGAACATGCTGAACACACACTCCCATATGGGTCCCACCAACCTGAGTGAGGCAATGGCCCAGGAAGTAGACAGAGAACATGGCCCAAGGGCTCCCAGTGCCTGGGAGGAGCCAGACTAAGCCCTGTAAAGGGACCAGTCTTTACTCAGCTGCACAGCACACTCATCCTTCTCAGTGACACCGTCAGCTCTGGTAAGGCTGTACCTAACTATTTGATGAATAGCACATCATTTCCAGGTGAGGGAAGACATGAGGTCAGAGCTCTGAGTTCTGCTGTTAGCCCCACACTCTAGAACTTCGCTTTGTCACTCCAGGGGCTGCCTGGGCCCACCAAAACAGCCACTGTCTAGATTCAGGGATGGTGCCCACCATGAAATGAGCCAGCAGGAGATTGGGCAAACTTGCCTCCCCTCCCATGATGATGCCTTCCTATAAACTCTTCAATGATGTCCCTCCTTCCCTTATGCAAAACAGTCTGCTTAGGAGTTAGTGACCATGCCCTAGGGCCGGGGTGGGCAACCTTTGTGTGAGTGCATGCCCAAACCAGCAAAATCTCTGACTCAAAATTAGTTTGAGTCACGAGTGCCAGGGTTGCCCACCCCTGTCCTAGGGTTTGCTGTGTCCCAATCTGCTGTGGAAAATCTAGTTCAAGTGTAGGAAACAGGAGTTTGGAGGTCAGGATGAAGCCTGGGGACCTCTGGGGAAGGGCTCTGCTGACTCACTGCTGAGTCCTTATTTCTGCTCTCTGCTTCCCTTAGAACATCTTCCCATGAGTGAGGGGACTGCTCAGGCATTGGGCACCCTGGGACCAGGCCCACACTTTCAGAGCCTGAACTATGTATGGTCCTTAGCTCCCGGAATCTAAACATCATTAATCTGTTGAAAGGTATGTTATTTTTACTTATTTACTTATTTTCCTTTAATCTTCATTACCATTACCTTGGTTAGTCCTCACAGCATCAATATAGGAAGATACCATTATTATGCCCATTTTATAGAGGAGAGAACTGAGGCATGGAGAGAACAAATAAATTGAATTAACTACACACCTGCAATGAGTGAGTAGCAGAGCGGGATTCAAACCCATGAATCCAGAGCCCATGACCGCACGGGCTACATTACTCAGTTCCCTTGATCAGCTCACAGTGGGCATAAGAAACTCACAAGCAATTGCTTGTCGGATTTGTCCAAATATTATCCTTCAATAGCATTTAAATTTCTTCTTTTGATTTAGGACTAAGGGAGAGTTTCAGAGTCTCCACTGAGAACAGAGCTAGCCAGTCTGAAAGGAGAACTAAATGCTGGCTGCTATCCAGAACATTCTAAAGGTAATAAATATGCAGCTGATTGTAAATAATAAATGGTGTGGCTCTGTTTAATTTCTTCCTAGGAAGTGGTGAAGCCCTTAGAGGTGAGTGTGGCTACAGCAAATGTTTTATCTTGGGGTGCAGGTTGGGCATTGTTCTCTGGGCCTTCTCTTTGCTGTCATTGTCAGCTGTCACAGTAATAATTTTTTCTTACAAGAGTCAGAATTCTAATGGCAGAGAACTCTCAGTCTCCTATCTGCAATTGCTTACAATTCAAACTAAGTTCTGCCTTAACATACTTAATGACGCTTAAATTTAAGTGACGACCTTCTATTTTAAGGACATTCTGCGAACTTCTCAATGTCTCTTTTCTTTCCCGGGGCTTAAGCCTTTCCTTTGTGTGTGTCATAGCATTCTTCTCCAGATCTCTAAGGATTCTCATCATTTGCTTGCTGTAGTCATGATGTTATCTATCTTAGTTATGGATCTTTGGGTAATGAAATATTTCCATGTTGAAATGTAATTGCAAGTGTTCCCCAAGAGGGTAGAGAATCTGGGAGCAAATTATAATATCTGAGCATCTCAATGTATTGTCCAGATTCTTGCAGCCCCCCAGGACCCTAAAGTTAACCGTCTACTTGCTGTTATGCAGACTGCATATGTCTGAAATAACTATCAAACAAGGAGACAACAATCTTTTGAACAATGTACGGAGGTACTCCTTAGATTATCAATCTCTCAAGGCCTATCTGTTTATCTGTCCTGAAAATGATCTTTTGATGGGAATGAAAATCTACCAAATTAATAAACAAATGAAAAGGGGACAATCTTATATGTTGGTATCCTATAAAATCTTAACTTAAAGGCAAAGCTTGAAGACAATCAGCTAATTTTGTTGTAAGCACATTTCTTTCAACATCATAAAATAATGCATTGTCAAATTAACATACTGTTTTAGTTCTTCACAGAACTAGAATATATTTTATACTGAGTGCTATAGAATGAAGCTAAATATTTCAAGAGTTATATTTTTAGGGCCCAAGAAACATTACATATATAAAATGGAAGAGGAAAAGATAAGAGGCAAGCTGTACTTATACTGTAGTACAGTGGAAGTTCCCAGAAGTTAGGGGAGACACACTTCGACCCTGTGACAATGTTATTCCTACACTAGAGGCCTGGTGCATAAAATTCATGCTGCGGGGAGGGGGTGTCCCTCAGCCCAGCCTGCACCCTCTCCAATCTGGAACCCCTCAGGGGATGTCTGACTGCCTATGGGATCAGGCCTAAACCGGCAGTCAGCCATTCCTGTCACAATCCGGAACTGAGGGCTCCTAACCACTTGCCTGCCTGCCTGCCTACCTGATTACCCCTAACCACCTCTGCCTGCCTTCTTGATTGCCCCCAGCTGCCCTCCCCTGCCAGCCTGATCAACCCCTAATCGCCTCTGCCTCAGCCCCCACCACTGTGGCTTTGTCCAGAAGGAAGTTGGATGTCTAGTCGATCCCATCTAATTAGCATATTACCCTTTTATTAGTATAGATGTTACTGCTGCTTTTGGTGTGCTCTGAGTTCAATCCCCTGCTCTGCTCTGTACCTCAAGAGGCTGCAAACTATAATCCAGCTAAGACCCACCCATGTGGTGGGAGGTGGGAGGTGGGAGGGCAGGAAGGGGAATGTCAAACTATTTCTTCCCCTTACTGCTGCAGGCTCCTCCAAATAGTAACCTCTGTTCTTAACTCTCTCTGGACACCTCTTTCAACAAGGTCTCTGATGGGCATCTCCTGGGACCTGTTAATGTCACTGCCTTCTATTGGGTGGTACAACTTCCCTCTGTTGCTAATCTTAGATTGTCTTTCTAAACTCTGGTGGCTTCCTAGCACTTCTGACACTCCTTTAACTAGTTCATTGTATCAAGTTCATTTGATGGAGGTCAGCATGTATTTGCAATGAGATCTTATATATACTAAATCTATCTGAATCCCAGTTTCTTCATCTATAGAATAAATTCAACAATATTATTCTTTGATGTTTTTTCTAGTGACTATAGGTAATGTAGATAGCAGAGGTCACCAATTATGGCTCAGCAGTCAAATGCAGCCTACTCCTGGTGTTTATATGGAAAATGTTATTGGAACATAGCCACGCTCATTCATTTACTTCTTTTCCAATGCTACTTTCATGCTACACTGGCAGTTTTGAGTAGATGCTACTCAAGGAGACCAAATGGCTTGCAGCCTAAAATATTTACTCTTTGGACTTTTCAGAAAAAGTTTGCTGACCGCTGGCATATAGCATAGTGTCTATCCAGTGGTTCTC